GGGGGGGGGCAGTCAAGCCCAAGCGAAGCTCGTGTGCCCACTACCCCTACAGCCATCGATTTCTTTATGAGCTGCGCGCCATCCGCATCGCATCCCGAGAGGATGGACGAGCTCGTACTTCACAAAATATAGCGTTTGTGCACACGGTAAAGACTCTGCTCGTTGAAACGCTCGTTTTCACTCCCCTCCTGATGCAGTCCGCCACGCCCCGCCACGCCCCCGCCACGCCTCGCCACGTGAGGTGGAGAGCAGCGTCTGGAACGCAACGGCACTTCCTCCTGAGCGGGGCGAGCCCGGGGAGGAGGAGGCGGTAAGGTCCTCCTCCTGTAACTCGCTCACCGGCACACCGGCGCTCGCGGTGTCATCCTCCTCCACGCCTTCCTCGCCCACGAGCAGGCGCGGAGCAAAGGGAGTCGTCCCCGCGAGGAAAAAAACGCTTACGTTCAACTTATTGGAGCATGTGGGGGCCTCGCCGGCCTCGCCTCGAGCGGGCTTCGTCTGGCAGTCCATCATCGAGTCCATTGTGCGATTGTTGCACCGCTTATCGGGATCGGACAGGAGTGGGGGGAGGGGGGTATCAACCCCCACAATGTATGTGTGCGCGTTTGATGTTTTGAGTGTGGGTGAGTTCACTTTCTAGAGCGCCTCGCCGCCCCTCACCCACACCCTTCCCTTTGACGCAACGCATGTGAGGAGTGAGGACTGGCAACAAAGGGCCAATAAATCTCGAGTGTTATGATGGCGTTATATATGACGGCACCCGGATTAGAGAGAGACGGCGCTAGGTGGTAAAGGGTGAGGGCGGCGGTCAGGGCGAGAATGCCATCGGCGTCTGGTTCGGCCCCTCTGCAGCCGCCTGGTGGGTAGACTGTACTGAATGCACGCGTGTGAGCGGGTTGCCTACTCGCCTCGATGGGATAGAAGAGGAGGCAAGACCAGAAGCAACACGGCGCGGTCTCTTGCTGTGACACTGTAACGCGGCCGCAATCCTCGGTACCTTGGTCCACCGTTGTGGCAGCCTGGCCCTGGGGCCGGTCCGGCCATGTGACGGGTGACGGGCTGCCAACCGTTGTGACCGCAGGCCGCCTACAATCGCGTTCGCCGTCCGACTGGAACGCATCGATGATATCAGGTCAACCAACGAGTGTCGGGTTCCTTTCCTGCAGAGAGCAAAGTTATACAGCAGTTTGATTAACAATTCTATCGATACCAAATTCAAACTGTGCCGCGAGAAACAAAGAGATGAGAGATGAGGGTCGATTTAACTATATCGCTTGAGTAGCATCTGAAGCCCCGAACTTTACAGGCGTAACACACACACAGACACACACGCACACACACGCACACACTTGCGCGCGCATACATACACACGAGAGAAACTAAAGCACTGCCTCTGCAGCGGACGTGTTAATTGGCGTCCTGGAGAAGTCTCCACTGGATCAGCCTCCCCAAAAAGAGACGCGCGGTGCGGTGCTGGCGCCGCCGGCGCCTCTCTCCCTAAAAAAATAACTGCGGGGACAATAGCTGGCGTGTGTCGGGCCGTGAGGCAAGGGGGAGGGGGGGGGAAGCACGCGGAAGGGAAGTCCCGGCGCCCCGGCGGGATGCCTACCCTCCCTCCGCACGAGCTCACGCGTCCCTGCAGCGCACTCCAGCATGGCACGGCTGGAGAAACGAGAAGACACCGCGAATCCACGGAGGGAAAAGCGGGCGACAGTTCCACGCGGCAGAGGCAGAGAAGAGACAGAAAAGAGGAGGGGAGGGGGGG